TTTGTGGATGGGTGGTGGATGTCTGAGGGTGACACATTGAATGTATTGTCGATTTACCTACTTAAAACTGACCCAGCACTCCCAACAAGTCACAACACTTAACGGCTCAATCAGTGGCGTGTTTTTACGTGCTTTTCGCACGTAATACAGAATCGGCACTCTCAAATATTCATGCGTTGATGCATTTATTGTGCCACACTGTCAGACACCTTATATGCTTTGAGTAAATCGCAGGGCAATTTGTTTCCTGATCTCTCAGGTAAGAGATATGATCAGTGTTCTTCACAGCTCACTGTCTGTAGGCGTGTATGGATTGCGGCGTCCCATTTTTCCCTCGTTTTACTTGCTCTCCATGATATGCGTATCTTTTTATATCCTCAATGATCTTTATTATATTCTGTTCTTGCTTACAGTTTCAAGCTCGCATTCTTTGCTGCAGCTCCGTTGCTGGTGTTGAGACACTTTTAGCCTGAGAGCTGTGTGTTTGTGTGTGTGTTTGTGTGCACATGTGTGGAGGAATGCGTCATCAGGCCCAGCCTTCCTGTGGTTTCTAATCCTCCGTCCCCTTCCCCAGCCCCCAGCCTCTTTCTCTCTCTCTCTCTCTCTCTCTGTTTGGCAGCAGATTCTCGGCTCTGGCTTCAGCTACGTGGGGGAGGGTAGGCCTAACCATGTGACCCAAGGCACTCCCCCATTTGGCAGGCAGACGAATTGTGGATTTTTGGACAGGCGGTTTCCCAGCTAGTCTTTAGCTACCACTGTTCTTAATGATGCACTGGGATTGTCCGTCGTTTGAAGTTGTTTCTTTAGTTGTACTTCTCAAATTCGATTTTTCTATTTTTTTTCAGTGGTTTTCAATTTTAATTATTATTTTTTTAAATTCTGTATTTCACATAGATTTTAGCTAACTTTTGGATTTGGGGACATTTAGAAACTGCATTGAGTTAGTTAGGATCTTTTTTTAGTTCTTTTATTTTAGTTATTTGTTTATTTTTTATTTGTTTCTTTAAAAATAAATAACAAATAACGAAATATAAAAATGAATACCAATGATTTAATAAATAACAAATTAATATTTTAAATATTAATAATTATTTTATTTATTTTAAATATTCTAAGTATTTATAATTATTAATTATTATTATTATTATTATTGTTGTTGTTGTTATTATTAATATTTTATTTTTAAATTTATTTTAATTACTTATTATAATAATAATAATAATTATTATTATTATTTAATTTTATTAGTAATGTTATTTTTATTATTATCATTTATCCAAAACTAAAATGCAATAATAATATAATAAAAAACAAGTAATAATAATAATATTAAGAATAATAATAATTATTGTTGTTGTTAACATTTATCGAAAACTAAATTTAATTTGTGGCCATTTTTATGTTTTAGTTTTATGATTTTTTTTACAGTTTAGTTTTTGCTTTTCCCAGTTATATTTTTATTTATTTCAGTTTTTTTTTTTATACAAATAATGCCAATTATATTTAATTACCAATACTAATAACACTTGATTTCTGTGACACTAGCAGCACCAAAAAGGATTGTGAAAATAATTTTCCCAAAAGCTCTACGTGCCTTCCATTGTTTGGATAAACAGGTAGTCCTGTTGCAAACTCACACCTTTGAGCCAGAGTTGTTCATTCCATTTGGTGCTGCTAGTGATGCAGAAAACACACATTCTAGCTTCAAAAAGTGATGAAAAATGCGAATTCAGGTGCAGAACGAAAGAACGAAAGTCTCGATGGTTCCTAGAATACTCTCTTAACCTGTGATGTGTTTCAGGTTTTGTCCTCTGAAAGCGCAGTCCCTGTAGAGAGCTGAATCTGCACTTCATTTCAAGAGCGCTGACGCACAGGCATTTCTCCGGCCTATCAGAAATCAAAGGCCTGTGAGCTTTTGTGTGCTGCTTGGCAAAAAAAGCCAAGGCGTTTCGTGCCCTTAATGGTCACACCCCTGAGGTACTGTCTTGCCCTGCTGTCCCAGACCGAACGGTCCTGTCGGATGGGTGCAGGAAGAGACTCGGTGTGTTTGACGTGCCACGAGGGCTAGAGAAAGTTAAAAGTGAGGGAAATAGTACAAGAAAGAAAGGATGGCCCACGTGTAGGAGGAATTGGAGAAAGGGAGGGAAGCCCAGCAGGAACGGGTCACTGCAGGCCAGGGGTGGAACTAGAGGAAAAGTGAGGAGGGGGTTAGATGGAGCCCAGCACTAAAGAACAGTGTGTTCTGTTCATTCCAGGGCAAGAACTGTTTGTGCTGTTATCCGTCACACAGTGAAGGGAAAGCAATAAGCAAATATGCTGAACCGCGTTATTTCACAGCACAAAATAAGACCTAGTGCTTCAAGAGAGTGTGTGTGACGGTTTGAGCAAACCTTGGCTCGTGGTTGCGCTTGCCACGTGTGTGGTGTTGGGATGTTTACTTTGGTGTGCGGGTATGTTTTAAAAGCCCTCATGTTTGAAATTGAATTTTTGTGGCTTGATTCCAAAAACTTGATTCCTGTTTCTCTACTGGAGAAACAGACTAAAAATTTTGATGACTCATCTTGCACTTAGGGGCATGTACAATTTTTTTCCGTCCAATCAGATGCTCTCTAGACTGAGAATGTTACATTGTAACAGCAAGTTGCGTGGCTGTGACTTAAAATTTTGTTGTATCAGGAAATGTCAACACAGGAAAGCAAACGGTGTTCAAGCCACATCATGGGGTCTTTAACTGTGTGTGTGTGTGTGTGTGTGTTCACAGGTGCCGTATCGCGTTTCCATAGAGGATGGATTACGGTTGTCCACTGTTTGAATAGATGCTCCTTCACTGAAGGATTGTTCCAATATGAGAGATTAATGATTAGAGGGGTGGGCTGAGCTGCACTGGGCTAATTAAACGCCATTAATGCTCGTCACTCAGCAGTTAATTAATCTCGAGAGCTATAAGGTAATGCGTTTCATTGATACAACCCCCAGAAATCAAAAGTAGTAAACAGGCATTTTGGCTTGATGCAGAGAGCTGATAATTATTAGTGACCTTTTATCAAATCTAGAGATATGAGGTTGGGCTATTTTGCCCTGGAAGAGTAAGAAATCAACCCAGAGTGACCTAGCATCTGCTGTCCTAGAATTGTGGCAGTGAATTTTGCAAGGGCAAGCACCACTTAGTTTTTCTTATATCAGACAATTGATATGATATATAAATATGTAATTTTTTTTAAGTAATAGATTAATCTTGATGTATTTATTTTTTCTTAATTGGATTCAAAAAGACATTTTTCAGCCAGTTATTGAGATTAAAATGTAATTCCGCATGGTGATCTTGGTCAATATTTTCTAAATTTATTTTCGTTCCTATGCTTTGGAAAAATTTGGTACTTTTTGCAACCATTGCAGCTCGTGCTGTGGCCTTTTTTATGAAAATATTTTTATTTATTTTATTTTAAAAGATTATTTAATTTATTGTTTTCAATATATTATGTATTATATTACCTTATTTTTATTAATTTATGTATGAATGTATTCTTTTTTTATAATTTGTTAAATGAATGCATTTCTAAATGATCATATTTTATAACTTATACATTTTATAAAAAAAATTTAATAAATAAATTCTCACTGTGAAATAAAGCTCATGCCTTTGCAGCTAGTGCTGTGGCCATTTTTCCTATATTAAAATATTTATAATTTACTGATTACTTTATAATTATTACTTATTTTATTTTATAAGAATGAATTTTACATCAAGATAAAACACAACATCTCTGCTTTAAAATAACACCAGAGAGAATGTTGTATCTTATTCAGAAATGGAGAGTGAGCGGCAGAGAAGCAGCGCATTCAGTTGGCCGCACCGCAGCCAGCTCGTCAATAAATGAGTACAAAACAGCGTTTTTCTAGCACCTGTCGCTTACTGATTGTTTGGAATTATAAATATGAGCGTAGTTCGTCTGTTAATATCACATGCACTTTTTTGTTTGTTGTTTTTTTTAGTTTGTTACTCAGACGCAGGCAGTGTGCTGCATGAGACAAAAAAGTAATATAGCCAAAACAACCGCATAGCTGCTCTTTAGTGTAGATGCATGTTGATTTTATGAGACGATGCCGCGATTATAAATGAGAATGACTCCTGGTTAACATGTATTAAAAGGGGTCGTGTTTAGTCACTATTTAGTGTGGTATTTTTTGACAATATTCACTCATCATGACAGTAAAATAGGGCATTCTAAGTCAATATACTGCAGTATTTCCTCTCTCAATCAGTAGAAAATATGGTTAACACTCGGTGCATGAAAAAAAAATACCGTCTTGTACCGTGAAACCGGTATAATTTTGAAAAATACCGTGATATAATTTTTTGGTCATACCGCCCAGCACTACATGATTCCTTACTAATGATTAATGAAATTTGTAGTTATTATTTTAGTAAGCCTAATCAAACAAATCTTGAGAAATATGCAACCTATTATTCTATATACTCTGGATATTTTGAAGTGAATTATGTTAGTAGTGGTTGAGGGGGTCTTTTTTGGTCTTCACCCATATATTATGCATCCCTAGTTGTAAGAACATGAACAAACTATAAATAGACAAATCCTTCAGTCTAGCATCGAAAAGAGGCTGAAATCAGACACGGGTTTAATAAACAGCTCAAGGACGTTTATTAACCAGCTTACAAGGACGGAGCTGGTGTAGTTGCTAATGAAAACGGCCACGTGAGCATGTAAATATTGCTAGGCCTGCTTCAGTCAAGTGGTTATCAAAACACGACAATGGAGGATCTCATTTTGTCGCTGCCGCCCACCTCCCTTTCTCATCCTCCGCTCGATCCTCTCATTATCACTGTAGGTGAACCTCTCTCTGATCAACTCTGTCACTCCTCTGAGTGACTCTTCCTGCAGCCCCCCTCGACGCAGCGGCGTTCATCCACCTTTCTTTTCAAGCTGTGGGGTGTCTGACCTAAATCTGTAAGGAAGGAGAAGAAAATGGAAGCGGAGAGGGATGTTGAGGGGGTGGAGAGAGTGTTAGGGGTGTAGGGGGACTGACAGCCACTGATGTTGGCGGCAAATTAGCATGTGCGCTAATCAAGCTTCACCCCTGAGAGCGGAGACAGACGGAGAGGCAGTGGGGTGGGGCGGAGGGGGTCTTGTTGTCATTATTAACGTTGTACAATCTAAATGCACTCGCACAAAGAAGCACCCTCTTTGGTCGGAACAAGCTCCCTGATGGCTTAAATAATTGAGCGGGGTTGAAGGCGTTATCTTCGCAGAGGGCTCGGATCTCAAAGCGGTGGTGGCAGCGGCGGCCCTGAGAACCACCATGTTTCCACATCTCTTTTCTTTTTGAAATCAAATCGTTCTATAAATAGCCCTCACTCCCTCCCTCTCTCCCTCCTTCCCCGGCGCTGCAGAGAGCGTGAGGATCCTGCAGTAAGACGTAACGTTTGGGTCGTCCACCGTTGCGACCCGTCGCTCTGTTTTAAAGCTCAAGCTTTGCACCGGCTTTTGTCTCGGGCGCTGCATTCTCGAGATTCTCTCGACTGCGGTGCAGCAGCCCGAGAGATGCCACATGCTGTCAAATCTCGCTCCTTTGTGTGCGGCTCTGGCTGCTTTTTAAACTGTGATTGGTGGAAAGGCTATGGTGGAATTGCAAAACCCACCCTATCAAAGCACGGAGAAAGATGTGCTGGCGCAGTCAGTTGTTGATTAAACCCTTGTGCCTCTGGGCAGAACCGCAGCCATCCGAGAGCCCTCCAAATGAAGTTGGTTAAAGCCACTACAGTGGCGTTAGGCGTCTGCCTGAGTCACAGCGGAACGGAGCCTTTGTTTTGATTGAGTGCTGTCAGTCTAACTGGTCTCTCTTTCTTTCTTTCTTTCGCAGACTGCCTGCTAGGTTGAGGAGATTCGGGGTGTCCCATAGACCCCTAGGTTCCTCCGATGAACCCCATCAACTCCATGAAACCTGCCCTGCCTCCAACGCCACACAGGTCAGTAGTTCCTGCGCGTCAGCTCGGTGCAGCTGCGAGTCAAAGTGTGACTCGCGCCCACAGTTTCCTCTCTAACGACATTCTGAACTCTCAAAGCCCCCTCAAACTGACACCTGCTTCCCTGAGCGCTGCACCTAACAGTCTGAACCCTAGCGCTGATGTTTTGATTGTTGATTTTGCATATTTTAACTACTATTTGGGAAGCGCTTCAGGGAAGCAATGTGTTTTTATTGTTTTACAGCCTTATCTGGATGAGATTAGCCTTGGCGTGCAGTTTAATTGTGTTTTTTTCCTTTTGTCAGTTAGGTTGTTGTGTTTTGCTTCTTTGAGGCTGTTTAAGGGTCCCAAAGAGTGCTTTATGGTTATTTGGAGAGAAAAACAAGTTCTTGATGTTACACTGTAGGTGACGTACCAGTATATAGGTGGTTTTCTAAAGAATCCAAGATTCAAATGTTCTTTGGAAATTTATTTAGTTCTGTTTGGAACCTTTATTTTTAAAGGGACACTCAAATTGACGAATATCATTTACTCACCCTCGTGTCATTTCAAACACATGACTGACTTTCTTCTGTGGAACACAAAGGGAAGTTAAGCAAAATGTCAAAGATGATGTTATCCCTAAAATGAAAGCTAACAGCAGCATAAATGTCATGTAAATAGTTAAATAGTGAATCCCTAATAGTTTATATAGTTAGTTAGTTTTCTATATATATTTTAGGATATTATAGGATATTTTAGGATACCGTAGGTAGGTGTACTTGGTACATTTTCATGAGTTTTACTGATATTTGAGCACATAAAGGGAATTATGTTGCTTTAGAAGCGATAATGAAGCAAAAGTCTGAACATGTAGAAAAAGTGGAAGTTGACGTTTCGCTCTCACCGCAGTACACTGAAAATAAATCGCCCGCAGCAGCACATGCATTGGGCCCCAAACTGAATCCTCGCACCCACACCTTCTCCTCTCATTTACTGAGCTCTCAATCTGCACAAGTGTTGGGTTTTTTACATTTTGATTGGCTGCTTTGTATCTCAGCTGCTGATTGGCTGCTGCAGGATTTGGCTTTGAAACCACAGTTTCCTGTTTCAGAGAGCAGGGGTATCTGGTGGTTAGTAGAAGAACTTTAAGAGAAACCTCTGCCTCCTATGGAATGCCTCTAAGCCGCCGATAGTTCAGTTTGTTTATTTGCCCTGGCAGAGCAATGACCATCCTCAACGAGGCTTTGAGCCTTTGTTGGAACCTCAATATCCTGTGGGCTGCAGGCCAGCGGATACTTTGCCGCAGGTCGAGGTGGAAATGTGTCAAGAAGGGGATCTCGGCTTTCTTCGAGGGCTTTAAAGAGAGGAGTCTTTCATGTGGCGGTGGGGTTGAGTTGTCTCGGGTCAGTTCAGGTTAGAAGCTGCTCAGAGCCAGTTATCACTCGATAAACCCTCACAGGTTTAATTTTCTTGATACAGTCGAGCTGTTGCCGCTTGGATAAGTTTTACCTGGAATGCTTCCATTCGGTGTCCAAGGTTTTTGGCACCCCAGCCAATGAGTAGTGACCTGAGATGATTTACTGGCCATTAAACTGTATTTTAAGTGTTTTTTTAAATAATTTAAGTCACTTCACATCACATGCATCATCAAGTGCATCACATTATTGCAATTAAATCACTGTTGAAACTGTGACAAAAACAAGACCATTTAGAGCTCATTTAGTGAACTCACCCTTTTGTTAATTAGACTTATTTAAATTAAATTATTTTGCAAGTCTCTTTTGCCCATCAAGGCTGCATTTATTTGATCAATATTGTGAAATGTTTTACAATTTAAAAATAACTTTTCTATATTGTAATATAGAAATATGTAATATATATTTTTATGTAATAGCTATATATTTTTAATATATTTAAAATGGTAATTTATTTGTGTGATGCAAAGCTGAATTTTCAGCTTAATTAACCGTTTTTGTAGAAGCTCTGACTAATTTAAGGATTTTTTGATGAATAGAAGGTTCAAAAGAAAATCATTTTATAAAAGTAGAAATCTTTTGGAAAATTATAAATGTCTTAACTGTCACTTATGATCAATTTAATGCATCCTTGTTGGATTAAAAGTATCTATTTTATTTCCCAAAAAAACTGACCCTGAAACTTTTGAATGGTAGTGTCTGTTTTCCTTTGGTTTTGGATTTACGACGACAATAACAAATGCATTTGGCTTCTTGGCTGAACTTCTGATGATAAATTATTCAAGTTGTTTTGAAGATGCATGACAGTCACTGATGTTTTTTGCCACAGTTTCTATTTTTCCTAAAATATGATTCACTCATGTCACTTGCACCAGCCAGTGTTGAGTGTCGTTTGCACGTTATAGTTTGACCATGCATTGTTACAGGTCATAAAACAAGTTACCAGCCAACTCGGTGTTATCTAATATTGTTTTTTTTTTGGGCTTTGGGGGTTTTTATCTGTTCCCATCCTTTTTGTCCCAAGTTAGCTTAATGGGCACATTCCTATCCATCAAGACCTTTTTTCCAGTCCCTAAAATGCAGATTGAGGTGCAAGTTTTGATGGTTACCTGATAGTCTTTCTAATGTTGTTCTTCTGGAGGCATACATATGAGAGTAAACACCATATATGGGAAGTCGTGGCCTAATGGTTAGAGAGTCGGACTCGTAACCCAAAGGTTGTGGGTTCGAGTCTCCTACCGGCAGGGATTGTAGGTGGGGGGTGTGAATGTACAGCGCTCTCTTCCTCCTTCCATACCCCGACTGAGGTTACAGTGCTCTCTTCCACCTTCAATACCACGACTGAGGTGCCCTTGAGCAAGGCACCGAACCCCCAACTGCTCCCCGGGCGCCGCAGCATAAATGGCTGCCCACTGCTCCGGGTGTGTGTTCACGGTGTGTGTGTGTTCACTGCTGTGAGTGTGCACTTTGGATGGGTTAAATGCAGAGCACTAATTCCTAGTATGGGTAACCATACTTGGCCACATGTCACGTCACGTCACGTCACGTCATATAATGACATGAATGAAAGGCTGTGAAGGGTAGATGTACCTTAGTAGTCCATTCAATAGATTTCATAGCTTTAATTCAGGTCTAATACTTACATGCTTTCCAGAGGAACGATGTACATAACAGTACAACTGATTCACAACATTCATCCCTTACAGCCTCGTTGTCATTCAAGTCAAATTAAATATGGCGTCAACTCTAACTAAGTTCCATGTTTCCCTGTTCTAATCAGCGTGTGATGTAGTTTGGCTAATTATGGAAAGATGGTGAGCGATTATTGAGAGCGATCTGGTTTGATCCAGTTACACAGAAAACAGTAGACACACACACACACACACACTTACTCTCTCACCCCCCTCTCCCTTGGCATCGTTACTCTTTTCTGTCTCTAAGTGACTGTGGAGTCGCCATGGAAACATTGTGCCGAGTACCTCCAGAGCATGTGGTGTGGCACGTCTGAAGTCGCAGAAAAATCGTCTCTCTCTCTCTCTCACACTCACACTTCACACCATATGCTGATATCATACCAGCACAAAAGACATAAATGGAATATAATGTGGATAATGCGAGGTGGATCAGTGAGAAGTGAATTAAGGGCGTTTTATACAGGAAGCACTCAGATGCATTAATAACCCCAGTGTCTATGTGTTTCTCTTGCCCCGCAGTGACGCCTCTTACCCATATGATCCTGTCCCCTGGCAGCAAGGCCCCAATCAGCCTGCCGGCTCCCTCTCTGTGGTAACCACAGTGTGGGGGGTAACCAATCCTTCACCCAGCCAGGTAAGAAGGGCCATCCGCCGCAATGATGTCACCAGCTTGTTTACCTCAAAGAAAGCACTACATGTTCCAGGGATGTCCTGCTCGTGTCTGGTTCTCAAACAAAACATTCTTGTTGTTGTCAATGAATCAGCAGATTCAGTTAACCGAACATTTAGAATCATTCAGAGCAGTTCTTCTTTAACTGAGAAATACTTAAATATAGTAATGAATAAATATGAATTACTTAAAAAATATTAACTTAATTGTAAAAATTAATTATCAGTACATTCATTATTTATTGATTATAATTAAATGATCAATTATTATAATAATAATCATTTTTTATTAATCAAAACATTGTTTCTTTTGGTCACATCTGACTCAAAACAGATACCAGTGAAATTTCTTAATTTCCAAACTCCAGCAATAACTAGTATGCTATTGAACACACTGCTTTATTTCAAATTTTTATGTATTAATATTAATAGTAATTGTAATTTTTTTATTAATAAGTAACTTTTTGACGAATTAGTACAACTAATAAATAACCAGTATATATAT